AAGATCTAAATGTGACTTGTCAAGTAGCTCAAATATTAGCTCTAATCCCCATTCGCGCAGAGTTCTAATTTTAGGCTTTGTAGACCCAAAGCTGCATATGTAGAATATCCCTTGTTACATCACAAATTTTCCAAATGGATACAAGAAAATGGAGCAGGAATACACAAGTTAAGAGCGGGTATCTCTGGAGTTTGGGCTTATGGGTGATTTTTGTTTCCTTTTATTAACTTTTTTTTCTTTTGCATTTTAAAGTTTAAAACAATGCAAATATGTATTTTTTTAATATCAAAAACTTCATTTTCTGAAAAGTAGAATAGATGCTGTAGTTATTGGCAGAGCCAACCTTGGAGTAAGGACATGGTGAACAAGGGTCCCGAAGACACCTTGTTCCTTCCAACACTCAATAATAGGCACCATGTCAGAAGTGCCTGTCAACTTTGGGTTTAAAAATATGCTTATGGTAGAGGCGGTGAATCAGGAGTCTGCTCTTGCAAGAAGTACCAAACAACTAGAAATGTAGTGACTCTAGACCAATAGGGAAGAGAAGGGGAAAGCTTCTTGTATAACCTGCATTTAGCATGTGCATCCCATCCTTCCACCCCTCCCTCCCAGCATCGAGAGGTGGGTGGGAGGTGGGTGGGAGGTCCCTGGCAGCCTCTTCTCCGTTAATGTTCCTTTGTCTTTAAACCACTGATGCTGATATTTACGAATTAGCATTGTAGGTGGAATACACATTTTTGTCAGTGAGAGGTACAGAAGGGGAGTCTTTCTAGGTGCAGGAGGTGACACAAATGAACCTGCAGTCATGGGAGTTTCTGGGGAGTGTGATGGTGCTTTAGGGAGGGCGGACATAGGTAAAATATGTGGTTTTGGTTTCTGGGAGAAGCAGAATAGGGAATGGTAAAGCCGAGAAGGGACTTTTGTGTTTCGTGTTTGCCTGTCTTCTTTATATCCGCTTCTGTGGCAGCTTCTTTCCCTGGCCTCCCATGCCTGGCCTCCTGCCGCCCGCTGGCTGGTCAGAGACCTAAAATAACACACCATCAAATTGCTCTCTTCCCCTTTCTTTTCTTTCTCCCCATGCTTCCCTTCATTCTCATCAAATGTACATAGAGTTGACAGCATATCAATAATCAAAGCACGGGAAAGTTTGAGAGTCATGAACTTTACCTCCTTCATGTAGCTAATCATTTGGAATGTAGTCTCTTGAACCATGTCAGGATGAGAGTTGGCCAACACAACTGGCAAAGTTAGGCTGCAGCCAACCAACCGCTAATACACGTGTGCATGTCACAGCAGGGTCACTCCTGGCTGGCTGAGAGCATTTGGTGAACAGCCAAGTAGCTTCAGAAAGGACTCAGGGGCATGACCAGGTGTACTGCATGGGGTCCAAGAACCCTGCGAAAGAGGGGCTAAACTTATCTGCAGTTTTGGTTTAGACATGGCAGACTTGACTGATGGACAGAAGGCTTCCAAAAGGACCTGGACTAGAGGGAGAGCCCTGGGTGCCTGGCAAAAGCTAAGATGAGGGAAGTCTGGCAGCATGGGAGGAAGCAGGGCTGTGGGTACAGAGGTTCCTGACCCAGATCCTTCCTGTTCTCTACCCCTCCCTGCACAATCACTCTTCTAGGGTGTCTGTGGGTTCTGGAGGGAGAGAGATACGGTCAAAGAAAAGCATATGTCACTGTGGAGAGTGCTCATCAAAGTACTGATCAGAAACAGGTGTGTGTGTGTGAGAGTGTGTGTGTGTGTGTGTTGGGGGGCGTGTCTAGAGGAGGTTGGGGGTAGTGCGGGCAGCCTCCGATGAGCATTGCGGTGGTAGCTGTCCACAGAGCAGAGGATGCCAGCCAGAGCTGCATCTTTCAGGGCAGTCGTCTTCATCTGTAAAATGGGAATAAAGACAGCACCAACTCCACAGAGTTGTGAAAACTAAACGATTAATGCGTGTACAGCATTTAGCATATGCCAGCACAAACAAAGTGATAAATAGGGTTTAATAAATGTTGGCTATTGTTATTTTCATCATCGTTGCTTTTGTGAGATCCCTTCTCTCTGCTTATCTCCTACTTATTTTCAAGTGGTTGCATAGTTTGATTTTATGTGATGCAATAAAATGGATTTTGCCAGTGTTTTTGCTTTTAATCAGAGAAATTACTTCTCGGGATGTAATAGAAAAGGGTTAGATTACACCTTAAGTACATTGAACTTGAGCAAAGTTTTAAAAATGATTGTGGCATCTCCAAGTTGAATTTTTACTGAATAAAAACATTAGGCACGAATGTCATTTTTTTTGCTCTAAGAAGATCGTGGGAATAACTAATAACACTTGGTAGAGGTTAATATAGTATTTAAGGTAGTAATTTTAACAGTTTTGGACTCATTTTTAAAGACATCATTGGAATACTTTTCAATAGACGTCAGTCTTTATTTCTTAGGAAATTACAACGATTAGCTGCAGGCAGCTTCTCTTATTGTTCTTTGAAGACAATAGGAGTCTGTTGAGGATTGGTGGGGCACAAAATGAATGATACATGTTTTAGTAAAGACTTCACTGCTGAAACATTTTTCATCACTCTTTTTGTCTGGCTACAATTTATGTATTCAAGGCCTAGTCTTCACATGCAGCTTTCTTTACTGTATTTGGCCTAGAAAATGAATTCAAGTGAAGGAGAAGAATAATGCTTTTCCTAGGGCTAAGATATAGATTTTTCTTTTGAGGGGCTATAGTTTTTTTTTTTCCTCAAAAGAAAATGATGTTACACTTGCAGAACTCTGTGAAAGTTGAAAAGAGAATTTTGTTCCTGCTTTGGGTGTTTTCAGGATTCTGCTTCTGCTTCCTTATGAAACTGTGCACTAGGCAAGGACAAGAATATCACTCTCATTATTCAGGCATTTGAAATTACTCTTTTCCTTTGAAATGAGATATTCAAATCATTGAGTGTTAGAGAAATTGTGCATGGGTGTTAGAGTAAACGGATCTTGATCTGTCCTCTCAGCATGAGGCTTTCTGGAGGTGGTAAAGTGGTTTTAATCAGTGGAAAATAGCACCCGATTTCTACAAGATCTTCCCAAGCTCAAAATGATTTAGATAGTAATCTGAGTCTGAATACCACCCAGATAAGCACCTGCAGTCACATTTACCTGGACGTGGGTGGCATTGCTTTTTAAATTTAAGTATTACTATAAAAGTTGTCTGGCTTTTACCCCTATCAGTTCTCTTGATTTAGAGGATGGGAAAACTTCTTTGTGTTCTTTCTGGCTGGAATGTCTAGTTAGAGATTCATTCTGCTGGCTGTGATCAAGTTACATACACTGATACCCCAAATTTTCTTGATTTGGCCCTCAACTAAACAATACCAGGACTGTGAGGTCCAACAGTAAAAAGAAAAATTTTAAAACGAATTTAATATACTATGAAGTTCTTGTACAAATGCTAATTACTACAATGTGAAACAATGCTGTTTTCACTGTTTTGGGAAGTAGAAATCTTGTTCCGGGGAGAAAGAAACAGCTGGTTTATTACTAGGTACGCTAAGTGCAAAGACAAACTTGAACAGAAGTCAATGACTTGGCATCCAATACAGCTAACATTCATCTACTTTTACATTGTTTCTGGTGAACTATTATAATTTCAAATCATTATAGTTGGAAAATATTTAGATAAAACATAATGTCACATTACTTTTCAATTTAAAATAACAAAACTGGAACTTTAAGCCACACAGTGTGAACAATGTGGAGTGCAGGTTGTAGGAGAGAAAAAAAGATGTCTAGATGCATTTGACATGAAAATAGAGGGTTTTTTACTGCAGTATGATATTTACAGTATCTTTATACTTAAATTTTGGCCACAGAAGTAGTCTTACTGGCTATATACACTTGGATAGATTTCCATCCAAAAAGAAAAGATGATTAAAAACACCTACCTTGGGACTTCCCTGGTGGTCCAGTGGTTAAGACTTCACCTTCCAATGCAGAGGTTGCGGGTTCGATCCCTGGTCAGGGAGCTAAGATCTCACATGCCTTGTGACCAAAAAAACCAAAACATAAAACAGAAGCAATATTGTAACAAATTCAATAAAGACTTTAAAAGTGGTCCATATCAAAAACTCTTAAAAAAAATACCTACCTCACTCAGCCATAAAAACGAATGAAATAATGCCATTTGCAGCAATGTGGATGGACCTAGAGATGATCATACTAAGTGAAGTCAGACAGAGAAAGATAAATATCATATGATAATGCTTATATGTGGAATCTAAAAAAAAGATACATATGAACTTACTTACAAACCAGAAATATTCTCACAGACATAGAAAACAAACTTATGTTTACCAAAGGGAAAGGGGGGGGAGGAATTAATTAGGAGCTTCAGATTAAAATGTGCACATTACTATATATAAAATAGATAAACAACAAGGACCTAGTGTATAGCACAGGGAACTCCGCTCAATATTCTATAATAACCTATGTGTGAAGAGAATCTAAAAAAGAATAGATATTTATATAGGTATAACTGAATCACTTTGCTGTACACCTGAAACTAACACAACATTGTAAATCAACTATACTTCAATAAAAAACCATAATATATATCTATACTATAACTGAATCTCTTTGCTGTATGCCTGAAACATTGTAAATTAATTATACTTAAAAAAAAATAAAAATTAAAAAAAAAGGAAAAGTGGAAATGTATTTTGAGGAATGTTCAAGAGATTAGAATATTATTTTCATTTTATCTTTTAGAAAACGTTCAATTCTGGGGGAATCTCAGTTTAACGATTTCCTGCTAGCTTACTACCCAAGTTTTCCTATTTTCTATGAGATACAACTTTCTGTCTCATTCTCCAGGAGAGACACTGGGTAATTATGATGATGAGCAAAAGTTACTCTTTTGCTGCCTCTTCTTGGGGTTGATGTGGTAGGACTCTGACTTCCTCCCAGGCAGTTGAGTCCTGGCAGAAATCTGATGACCTCTTTCTTGTCTTTTTCTTGTACAGATCAGAAGCAACAGACCTGGAACGAGGAAGTGCATAACTTTTTGGTATGTAATTGAGAACTCTTCAAAACTAATTCTTTCTTTTGGTGATATTCATGACCTGAACAGCCCGTACTCCACTTTGTTATTCTAATTTGTGAACCAAATTATAATAGCCTAGGTGTATTTACCCCGAGGCTAGGATTAATGCAGAGAGAAGCTAATGGTATTCATAAATAACCAACTGTATTTGGTCCTCTGGATTTCCCTTGAAAACGGATTCTTGACGGCGATTACATTTCAGTAGGAGAGCCGCTTAGTAAAGCAATGTATTTATGGAATGATCTTGTTTGAGCCCCTTAGTGGTTGGGGACATACCAAACTGTCAAAGTACCATAGAACTATAATTATGTGAAGAATCTATTTTATAAGCAACTATGGGTTTAGATGCCCATATGTAAATTGAAAGTTCTAGAAATGAGGCGTTTACTAATATAAATTTACTAAGGACTATAATGAAATATTTATATTTAGTAATTATTATATCAATATAAAAGTAAAATAATCTTAAGATGTTCTCATCTTTAAAGTTCATCCCTAATGATCTAGGTAAGACTGGAGTTCTACAAATATATATCTAATTTTTCTCATTATTCCTTTAATTTCCTGTTTATAAAATGCTTCAAAAAGAATGTCTTAGTTCCTCACTGGGACACCTATCACTTGTTTAGTTTAACTCTGCTTATAACTTGCCAGAGAATACAAGAGAAGCATTCTTTTCATAGCTATCTATCAAGAATACCTTCTTTTGTGACTCCATGGGTATAATGAAATAGTAGTAATTTTTCAGAAAATATTAGTATATTAATTCAAGAGCTATTATTTTTCTATGAAGCAAAGAAACAATAGTAATAATAATCACTTTTCTCCCCAGTATGTACTTTCTACCACTTCCAATTACCTAGCAACTGCCTTTGAAACATTGTTACTCATGACCCATTAGTCACCATCATTTTTTTTTAATATCTTTATAGGAGTATAATTGCTTTACGATGGTGTGTTAGTTTCTGCTTTATAACTAAGTGAATCAGCTATACATATACATATACCCCCATATCTCCTCCCTCTTGCATCTCCCTCCCACCCTCCCTATCCCACCCCTCTAGGTGGTCACAAAGCACTGAGCTGATCTCTCTGTGCTATGTGGCTGCTTCCCACTAGCTGTTTTACATTTGGTAGTGTATATATGTCCATGCCACTCTCTCACTTCGTCCCAGCTTCCCCTTCCCCTTCCCCACGGCCTCAAGTCCACTCTCTACGTCTGAGTCTTTATTCTTGTCCTGTCCCTAGGTTCATCAGAACCTTTTTTTTTTTTTTTAGATTCCATATATATGTGTGAGCATATGGTATTTGTTTTTCTCTTTCTGACTTACTTCGCTCTGTATAATGGACTCTAGGTCCATCCACCTCACTACAAAAACTCAATTTTGTTTCCTTTTATGGCTGAGTAATATTCCACTGTATATATGTGCCACATCTTCTTTATCCATTTATCTGTCGATGGACACTGTGGTTGCTTCCATGTCCTGGCTATTGTAAATAGAGCTGTAATGAACATTGTGGTACATGACTCTTTTTTTTTTTTTTTTTTTTTTTGCGGTACACGGGCTGCTCACCATTGTGACCTCTCCCATTGTGGAGCACAGGCTCCGGACGCGCAGGGTCAGTGGCCCTGGCTCATGGGCCTAGCTGCTCTGCGGCATGTGGGATCTTCCCAGACCAGAGCACGAACCCATGTCCCCTGCATTGGCAGGCGGACTCTCAACCACTGCACCACCAGGGAAGCCTGACTCTTTTTGAATTATGGTTTTCTCAAGGTATATACCCAGTAGTGGTATTGCGGGGTCGTATGGTAGTTCAATTTTTAGTTTTTTAAGGAACCTGCATATGGTTCTCCATAGTGGCTGTATCAATTTACATTCCCACAAACAAGGCAAGAGGGTTCCCTTTTCTCCATACCCTTTATAGTATTTATTGTTTGTAGATGTTTTGATGAAGGCCATTTTGACTGGTGTGCGGTGATAACTCATTGTAGTTTTGGTTTGCATTTCTTTAATGATTAGTGATGTTGAGCATCCTTTCATGTGTTTGTTGGCAATCTGTATATCTTCTTTGGAGAAATGTCTGTTTAGGTCTTCTGCCCATTTTTTGATTTTTTTTTTTTTGATATTGAGCTGTATGGGCTGCTTGTAAACTTTGGAGATGAATCCTTTGTCAGTTGCTTCATTTGCAAATGTTTTCTCCCATTCTGAGGGTTGTCTTTTCGTCTTGTTACGGTTTCCCTTGCTGTGCAAAACTTTTAAGTTTCATTAGGTCCCCTTTGTTTATTTTTGTTTTTATTTCCATTACTCTAGGAGGTGGGTCAAAAAGGATCTTGCTGTGATTTATGTCATAGAGTGTTCTGCCTATGTTTTCCTCTAAGAGTTTTATAGTGTCTGGCCTTACATTTAGGTCTTTAATCCATTTTTAGTTTATTTTTGTGTATGGTGTTAGGGAGTGTTCTAATTTCACTCTTTTACATGTAGCTGTCCAGTTTTCAAAGCACCACTTATTGAAGAGGCTATCTTTTCTCCATTGTATATTCTTGCCTCCTTTATCAAAAATAAGGTGACCATATGTGTGTGGGTTTATCTCTGGGCTTTCTATCCTGTTCCATTGATCTACATTTCTGTTTTTGTGCCAGTACCATACTGTCTTGATTATTGTAGCTTTGTAGTATAGTCTGAAATCCAAGAGCCTGATTCCTCCAGCTCCGTTTTTCTTTCTCAAGAAAGAAAATTTGTGTTTCCATACAAATTGAGCAATCTTTTGTTCTAACTCTGTGAAAAATGCCTTTGGTAGTTTGATAGGGATTGCATTGAAGCTGTAGATTGCTTAGGGTAGTATAGTCGTTTTGACAATGTTGATTCTTCCAATCCAAGAACGTGGTATATCTCTCCATCTGTTTGTATCATCTTTCTTTTCATAAGTGTCTTATGGTTTTCTGCATACCAAAAACTTTTGTCTTTTGTCTCCTTAGGTAGTTTATTCCTAGGTATTTTATTCTTTTTGTTGCAGTGGTAAATGGGAGTGTTTCATTAATTTCTCTTTCAGATTTTTCATCATTACTGCATAGGAATGCAAGAGATTTCTGTGCATTAATTTTGTATCCTGCTACTTTACCAAATTCATTGATTAGCTCTAGTAGTTTTCTGGTAGCATCTTTAGGATTCTCTATGTATAGTATCATGTCATCTGCAAACAGTGACAGCTTTACTTCTTTTCTGATTTGGATTCCTCTTATTTCTTTTTCTTCTCTGATTGCTGTGGCTAAAACTTCCAAATCAATGTTGAGTAATAGTGGTGAGAGTGGGAAACCTTGTCTTTTCCTGACCTTAGTGGAAATGCTTTCAGTCTTTCACCATTGAGGACGATGTTGGCTGTGGGTTTGTCATATATGGCCTTTATTATGTTGAGAACAGTTCGCTCTATGCCTACTTTCTGGAGGATTTTTTATCATAAATGGGTGTTGAATTTTGTTGAAAGCTTTTTCTGCATCTATTGAGATGATCATATGGTTTTTCTCCTTCAATTTGTTAATATGGTTTATCACATTGACTGATTTGCGTATATTGAAGAATCCTTGCATTCCTGGGATAAACCCCCTTGATCATGGCGTATGACCCTTTTAATGTGCTTTTGGATTCTGTTTGCTAGTATTTTGTTGAGGACTTTTGCATCTATGTTCATCAGTGATATTAGCCTGTAGTTTTCTTTTTTTGTGACATCTTTGTCTGGTTTTGGTATCAGGGTGATGGTGGCCTCGTAGAATGAGTTTGGGAGTGTCCCTCCTCTGCTATATTTTGGAAGAGTTTGAGAAGGGTAAGTGTTAGCTCTTCTTTAAATGTTTGATAGAATTTGCCTGTGAAGCCATCTGGTCTTGGGCTTTTGTTTGCTGGAAGATTTTAAATCACAGTCTCAATTTCAGTGCTTGTGATTGGTCTGTTCATATTTTCTATTTCTTCCTGGTTCAGTCTTGGAAGGTTGTGCTTTTCTAAGAATGTGTCCATTTCTTCCAGGTTGTCCATTTTATTGGCACATAATTGATTGTAGTAATCTCTTATGATCCTTTGTATTTCTGCAGTGTCACTTATTACTTCTCCTTTTTCATTTCTAATTCTATTGATTTGAGTCTTCTCCGTTTTTTTCTTGATGAGTCTGGCTAATGGTTTATCAATTTTGTTTATCTTCTCAGAGAACATGCTTTTAGTTTTATTGATCTTTGCTATGGTTTCTTTCATTTCTTTTTCATTTATTTCTGATCTGATCTTTATGATTTCTTTCCTTCTGCTAACTTTGGGGTTTCTTTGTTCTCCTTTCTCTAATTGCTTTAGGTGTAAGGTTAGGTTGTTTATTTGAGGTGTTTCTTGTTTCTTGAGGTAGGCTTGTATTGCTATAAACATCCTTCTTAGAACTGCTTTTACTGCATCACATAAGTTTTGGGTCATCGTGTTTTCAGTGTCATTTGTTTCTAAGTATTTTCTGATTTCCTCTTTGATTTCTTCAGTGATCTCTTGGCTATTTAGTAGTGTATTGTTTAGCCTCCATGTGTTTGTATTTTTTACAGATTTTTTTCCTGTAATTGATGTATAGTCTCATAGTGTTGTGGTCAGAAAAGATACTTGATACGATTTTAATTTTATTAAATTTACCAAGGCTTGATTTGTGACCCAAGATATGATCTCTCCTGGAGAATGTTCCATGAGCACTTGAGAAGAAAGTGTATTCTGTTGTTTTTTGAATGGAATGTCCTATAAATATCAATAAAAATTAAGTCCATCCTGTTTAATGTATCATTTAAAGTGTGTGTTTCCTTATTTATTTTCATTTTGGATGATCTGTCCATTGGTGAAATTGGGATGTTAATGTCCCCTACTATGAGTGTGTTACTGTCGATTTCCCTTTTTATGGCTGTTAGCATTTGCCTTATGTATTGAGGTGTCCTATATTGGGTGCATAAATATTTA